CTAAATAATAATTTCAAAAAGCCATAATTAGCATGAATAATTAATTAATTAATAACAAATTAATGAAATTAACAAATTCTTACATATCCTGTAGGGTTATTTTTCATAATCCCATGTTCAATATCCAAATGACAAATCATATTACTTGTAGAGCCATGGAATTTATATAATACTTGTTTACCTTTTCTTTGGCATATTTGGCATTCAGCATAAACCTTATTATCCAAGATTTTAAAATGATTCTATACGTGACTTTTATTACTTGAATTTTTAGGATTTTGTTGGAATTCTTGTTCTTGATCATTTGGATTGGTATTATTTTCTACATGTGAACATTTTCGATTAATAGCACCTTGAAAATTAGAAATTTTTTTATACTGCAAATATTTATATTTTCATATATATTATAAATAATAATAAATTTATTATTAATTTTGCGACTTGAACGTGGCATTTTTAAGATTTATATTATAAAAGACTGGTATAAAGACATTTAGATGTTACCGTGTTATAAAGCAATTAATATTTAATTTGTAAAAGATAATTATTATAAATAATCTGTGAACCATGATTTAGCACGAATGATTTATTAAACAGTGATGTCATTATTCATTAACTTTTATTGTCTCATGCATATAACATGTATATCAGCATATGCAAGTTAATCTGAATAAAAACCTTATTCGAATATTCAAATAAATTTCTTTATTCAAATAAGATCTTCAAATTAAGATTATTCACCGAATAATCATTCAGAAGTTTTAAATATCTTATTTGAATATTTATCGAATACGAATATTATTCAATAATGAATATGAATCTAAAGCTCTAAACGTAAGAAATGTTTTCAAGATTCAGGCATGCTAAAATGTTTTACAAATTTCTTATTGCAAAGATTATTCCAAATCTCATTATCCATATCTTTACACCATAAATATTTCCCATATAGAAACGTTTAAGTACCATAGTATCTGAGATAGAGCACTCTTAGTCAAACTTAAAATTTTCAGCTTCTTCAGGATCAAGATTCCGGAAAGTGACAGCTGCCTCAAAATCTGTTTCCTTGAACTAATACTTCAACCCTAACCTTATTGCAAATCCTTTTACGATTTCCTATAACTTTTTAACTTTCATCTATTTTTATAAGTTGGAGAGAAGCACCTGTACTAGCTATGAGACTGCATGATATCTCAATGAAATTTCTTACAAAAAAACATTTCTGATGCTCAACTTTGAGGTATAATATTATGGCAGGTGATTGATCAAATTTATATGATACAATATTTTTATCCCATTCGTGATGCTCTTTTATTGCTGTTGGCAAATCATTAGGTGTAACATTTTCGAGTTCAGCATGAATATTTTTATAACCTGGTAGGCAAAAAAGCTCATTGGAATTTTTTTGATAATAGAGGGATAGTATACGCTTTTTACAATCATAAATCTGAAACATCATCTGAATAAAGGCTTCAACATTAACTGGAGTTACAATATTTGTAATTCCTATAACTGCATCAAAATGATTAGTTTTTTCAAAAGATATGCCTGCTTCTACAGTATTTATATAAGCTACACAATAAAGTTCACCTAAGCGGTATTTATATCTGAAAAATCCTTTTTTTATTGTTTTCCATTCATATCCCATAATAAACATAGACTCTAATAGGAGAATTATCAAGTCTTTGCAATTTAGAGGCTTTTTTTACAAATGCTTGGGCCATACTGCAACTTGTTAGAATAAATGCCACACGCTTGTCCTGCTGTAATAACTCATATCCTATTCGCATAGCTTTAGCCCCGCTATTTGGATCATAAAGATACTTAACAGTTTTACCTAAAAGGTGTTAAAATTTATTATCAATCACTCGAATATTTTCATTGCAATAAGCTTTAAGAAAGATTAGAGTTGATTTATTTCTGAATGCATTCATTGCAAGTATATGTTGGGCTATTTTTAATATATCACACATTGCATTCTCAGATTCTCGTGCATTTACACCACTACTCATTTGGTGATTAATTGCATTGATTTCATCTAAAATAGCTATAATCGGACGTGCTGAGAAATCTATACGAGAAAGACTCTCAACTTAGACTATAATAATATCCTACTTATCTACAGATAAGTTTTGTTCATCTTGATAATTACAGATTCTAAGCCTAGATAATTTAAAATCATTAATTTTACAATGCAATTCATTACTAAGAGTTTTTCAGTAAGAAATCCAAACAATGCATGGCAAACTAGCTTTATTCCTGGCTAAGGAATTGAGATATTTTCTTAACCCTTTTATTTTTCCTGTCATCATAGGGGAACAAATTAGAGTTGTACTGGTCTCTTCACTCAAGAAGTCAGGATAAGCTTCTGGGAAATCTTCCATCTTCTTTATGTTAATAGCTTCTCCAGATAGTTCAGAAAGTATGTATGAATTTGATATAGTATTAGCTATTCTTTCAGCTATTCCTCATTTAGTATTATGAGAATTTAGTTACTTCTCCAAATACCAAACCTTTATGGTCTAGCTTATATTGTTTTTGCCGATAGCATTTGAGTATAAAGTATCCATCTTTTCGAAGAAAGCATTATAACTGATTCCTTTCATGTTTGATATTACAAATAGGACATTCTATAAATGATTTGGCATAAAAGGTAATAAATCCTTTTTCAGCTTTTCTGATTTCAATCCATTCATATTTTGCCATTACTAAACTAGCTCCATTGCTTAAAGCGGTTTCATCTTTAATAGGTTTGAACTCCTCTTTTTCTGACTTCTTGGAAGAAAAGGTTCATAGCCAAATTTCTAAATAATTTGGTTTAAGTTGAGCTAAATAATCCTCTAGTTTGCGTATTCTATTCTTGACTGAAGAAATCGCAGGTCTTTTTATTCTATCTCCCAAGAAATCGAAGACTAAAATATGATTTGTAAAGCATGAGATCGATAAATTCAGAATATGGTTTTCCAACCCTATTAGTGACTTTTTTTACAAAACCCCTAAGGTTTCTATAATCAATAAAATAAGCTGAAGGATATATGATATGCCAACTGCATTTATCAGTACTAGATGAACTAGCTAAAGCAAAATCATTTAAAGTTATGAGATGTTTTAAATCAGAGTATAAGATATCAGCGCAAGCAATTAAGATTCTGGATAATAAATCATCACGAAAAAATTTATATCTATCTAAGGAAGGGAGTTCAGATTCGTGGGATCAGATTTCTGCTTCGTATCAATATCCAGAACCAGGCAAAGAGGCAGATTCCCATCAATGCATTCATGAGCATTAGGAATCCCCTAAATTTTAGATGGATGATCAACAACTGTAAAGCCCTTTCCTGCTACCCGAATAATATATTTATCAAAAATCTCTTCAGGATGATAGGCTTCTAAAAAGGTCACATTCTCTTTAGTATTAGATGTCAATAAATGTTGAAAATATGTATGATTATTATAGTCAGGCTTATAATTAAGGTCTGTTACACCTGAGAAAAGCCTTATTGCTTCATTTATTTTTATAGGGTTAGGTTCGAATTTTTTTTGTGCAAGTAGCATAGTAGTATATGCAAGAAAGCAGTATAAATTTACATAGAAATTTGTAATCTTCAAAATAAATAATGTAATATATATCTTAGAAATGAAATAAAAATATGTAAAGCTATTTTGGTTTTTGATCCAATTACTAGTGTAAGTATGCAATATATATACTAAATAATACTTTAAAGTAATCGATATAATAATATCCTGAAGTAGCAACTATAGGAGAAAGAGTTTTAGAAAATTAGAGGCGTAAAGCAAGATATAGATTTGGTAGTATACCAAAGTAGAATTATATATAGAAAAGAAAATAAGAAGTTATGCTTTGGTGTACTACTGGTGATAGGCAGGAAAGGGGTCAGAAAGGCAGAAAGACTCAGAAGAATACATGAAAAAAAGGTATGAAAGATGTAAATTCTGAACTAATTTGGCAATCAAACAGGCTATAAAAGGTGGGATTGTAAGAATGGCACAACACTAAACACTTCGTATGTGCCTTACTGGAAATCAAAAAGTTGGTGAATAGATTGCAATACATTTTTAGAAAATAGATGGATTGCAAATTTGGCATTTCATATCTCATCCAGTAATAAAGAAATGGTAATTAAGAGGGAAGCAACTATATGAAAGTATTCTGGTATCAGAACAATAACATATGATTATAACGCAGTAAGACATAATATTAATTCACTTAATTTCAGCCAACACAATTTCACAATTTCGCCTAAAACTTTGAATATAATATTTTGACACCCAAGCTAGCATAAAACTAGCGAACTAATAGAAACTCTCTAACTCCCTGCCAGTTCTATGACAGTTTCAGGAGAGTTTCATAACACTAGCAAGACGCTACCACGATATTTTCATGACACTAAATTGGATCCTCAAATCACATGCCCAAAAGATCAGTCAGAGTTATACCATAAAGCCAGCTAAAATTAATCACAAATTCACTGCGCTACCTGTCGCCTTTTTTACACCATTTCAGTATTTTAAAAGGCAACCAAATAGGCACAAAAAAGAAGCATTCTCGATATCTTAACAGGCTACTAAATAGGCCCAGAAGCAAAAAAAACAAGCGAATAGCTCTTTAGAAACAAAAAGAGCGCAAAGCATTGTAAATATATGAATAGTTCCTTGATAATAAAAAGAATATGAGCAACAAAATCAAGCGGATAGTTACAAGGTAACAAAAAGACTACAGAACAATGAAAACAAGCAGATAGCTACAAGACAATAAAAAGGTCACAAAGTACTGAAAACAGTAACGAGATAACAGTCTAACAGTAACAGGTAACAGTTTAACAGTAACTAAATAACAGTATAATGCAACTGGATAACACTCTTATAAGAGTGTTATCTAGTCTAAACAAAACTTAGAGTTTAATCAGTTATTAAATAGTAAAAGTAAAAGCTGGCTAAATTATATTAAAAAATCTGCAAATTTTAAAAAATTCAAATTCCAAAATAATTATAATATCAAAATACTTTGGGTTATATGTATAATCATAACTATTATTTATAAAAATGCTAATTTAAAATGTTTGATATATTTAAGATATCTTAAAATAAAATCAAAGAAAAATGTTAATGCTTTTATAATTTGTTTTATGAAAAAATCAGATAAAAAAGAATTTATTAAAGATACTAGTAAAGATACAGCTAAAGATAATAAGGTAAAAAAATTTTAGAACATAAAAGAATTTATTTAAATTTTATGATTTCATTTACTAAATTTTAAAGATCTAACCAAATTCAAGTTTCACAAAAATGTTTTAGATACTAAATTTGAGTTTCATTAAGAAGCATATGCTTAATTTTATTATTAGCTTTGATTGAAATTCCTACATAATACTTATATTTTTATATATATAGATTCACATAATTACAAGTAGTATAATGTTAAAATTGAATTATATTCTTGAATAGTTAATGAAAATAAAGTGATATTTTAGAATGTCCGCTATTCCAAGTTATGCCGATCATTATTATAAAATTAAAAAGGAGACCAAATCCTTATAACCGATGAACATGTCTGTTACTGTAAAAATAAATCAATAAATAAATTTCCAGAACCTCCTCTTACAAATTTATGTCTTGATAAATATTTATTAAATGCCTGCAATAGTTTCATTACAAGTCAAAAGTGAAAACAAAAACATCAATTTGTCTTTGATTGATGATAAATTATCTTTTGAGTTGCATAAGAAAAGTGGTATTTAAAGTTTTTTACGTAAAAAATGAGTACTTTCTATGTCTTAATATATATTATTTACTTACCTATTCGTTTTACAGCAAAGAATAATCCCACAAGCATTCCCGTTAGAAACATCCTTTATGTCGCTTTAGATAAAACAGAAGATATTAGCATTAGAATCAATGTACTTGTTCCAAAGGATAAATTAACATTAAAGTTAAAGGAGTATTCATTCGAAGTCATTGATGAAGAATCAGCACAATCATGGATAAAGACTGTTAATTCGACAGCATATAAAGGTACAATTTGATATGTATATATCAAAAAATATTAAAATATTCACTTGCCTATTAATAAAGTGAGGATATATAATTTATAATTTTAGACGCGAAACAAGCGAAACATTTCAAAGTTTTCATTAATCCTTTTGGTGGTTCGGGTAAAGCTGTTAAGGTTTTCAATCAATCAGTTAAACCCATCTTTGATGCAGCAGGATGTACTTATGATGTTACCTGTTAGTGTTTATTAGTATTTAAAATTTACAGTTTTTGAATGATAAGTTGATGGCATTACTAACTGTTTCGATCCACAATTATGTAGTGACAGAATGTTCGAATCGTGCGAATAATGCTAAAGAAGTTGTAAAAAATTTGAATGTTAAAGTTTACGACGCAATTGTTACAGTTAGTGGTGATGGTATAATTCATGAAATAATCAATGGCCTCTTATCACGTGATGATGCGTTTGAAATTGATATTCCAATAGGCACGATTCCTGCGGGTAAATAATTTAATTCCCTCTTTCTTTTTGACTAATTTAATGATAATGGTATAAATCTTTTTATAGGGTCTGGTAATGCTTTGAGTATTTGTCTTTTGGGTAATGATCACGGCGTTAGCGCATCACACGCTACACTTAATGTAATTAAGGGTAATTTACAGCACATATGTGTGATTATAAACCCTGAATCATTGACCTAAATTATAAATTCCTTAATTTAAAAAGGCGTTCCAATGAAAATTGATATTTGTTCCGTTACACAAGGGAACCAAAGATATTTTGCTTTTATGACGTTAAACTATGGTATTTTAGCGGACGGGGATATTTCAACTGACCACCTAAGGTATCTATCTATTTTTCGTGTGAAGTAAAATATAATTTAAATGTTTTTGATTTTAATTATTTTTTTAGATGGATGAAAAACTTTCGATTTTTTCTTGGTACTGTACAAGCATTATTTGGAAATCGTAATTACGATTGTGAACTAGCGATGAAAATTGCCGAAGATAATATTGAAAGAATCAAACAACATTATAATGAAGTTTATGATGGATCGCCTAGTTCTATCATGGATATGAAAGATAAACCTAGGACTCTTATAAATAAATATGGGACTGTAAATGATTCAATTCCTCAAGGGTGGACAGTATTGAATGATGATGGATATATTTTCTACGCAAGTAAAGTTCCTTGGGTAACAAGGAATAATATGGTTTTTCCTTTTGCATTACCATCTGATGGGCTTTTAGATTTGATGGTAATTAAACGGAACAAGGTATCAAAAATAAAAGTTGCAAGTATATGTAACGAAGCATTTGAAAATGGAAGTCATGTCAGTATGAAAGAGGTAAGCGTTAAATATTCAACATTGTATAAAAACCTTTTCAAATAAGTATTTTAATTTTTTTTTAAATAGGTTAATTATTGCAAAGTTGAGGCTTTTCGTTTAACTCCAAAAAATAAAGAAAACGGATATATTAGTATTGATGGAGAGAAGGTTCCATTTGAACCTTTTCAAGTTGAAGTCCATCCTGGATTAATAAATATAATTAGTATAAACGGGAAATATACTTCAACAAGTGCTTAGTATTTATTTATTTTTATTAATAGCCAACGTACTATAGATATATGTCTATCTATCTATTTATCTATATATAAATAAAAAAAGACGCCATCAAAAATGATTTTTAATTTTGAGTAACATTTAAAAAGTAAAAATTATATTAATTTTGATGAAATGTAATTCGCACAAAAATTATGTAAAGTCCAAAAAAAAAAAAAAAGGTGAAAGAAAAGAAAGAAAAAAGAAACAAACTAAAACTACAATCACCACCTGGGCAATGTATGAAAATTAATATGGTTATAATGCTTTACTCTAAATAAAAGAACGATGTATTTGTAAAGGAAAAAAAAGATGATATATAAAACTCTTAAGAATTAAAAAGAAACCTAATTTTAAAAAAATCAATTAAATTATTAAAAAAAAATAAAAAAAAATAGATATACAGAATAAACCATTGTAATAATGTCAGTTTCCTAATCATCTATGATATTGATCTAATGTACTCTTAAATGGATCACCACCAGCAAAACCACCTCTGTCATCCCTCAAAACGACTTCACCCTCTTCATCCCAATTAGAAGACTTTGATTTTTGATATCTAAATATTGCCATGCCAGCACCACCTAAAACCACCATTCCACCTACAATAGATGCTACAACTACAATAGTTGTTGTCGCGGATCCATCATCATTATTTGTTTTTGGCCCAGCTTGTTTTGGTAAAGGAGATTTCGGGGATTTAATTGGATTTTTAGGTGCGGGGGTTGGATCAGAAACATAAGAGTATGTTGTTATTGTGACCGCAGGAGTTGTTTGAGGTTGTTGGACTGGAGGTCCTTTTGGCTGTTCCTTAGGTGGTTCAGCAGGTGCTTGTTCTTTAGGTTGTTCCTTAGGTTGTTCTGCTGGTGGTTCTTCAGGAGGCTTTTGCTCTGGATCTTTTGGAGGATTATTCGCGGGTTCTTTTGGAGGATCTTTCGCGGGTTCTTTAGCAGGTTCTTTAGCAGGTTCTTTAGCAGGTTCTTTTGCAGGGTCTTTCGCGGGATCTTTCGCGGGATCTTTCGCAGGTTCTTTTGCAGGTTCATCTTTGACAGGAGCTTCATTAACAGGTTCCTTAACAGGTTCTTTTGGTTCAACTGGTTCTTTTACAGGTTCATCTTTAACTGGTTCTTTAACTGGTTCATCTTTAGTTGGTTCCTTTGGAGTTTTAGCATCATCTTGTGGTGCAGCAAGTGCACTTGAATTTTCATTTAATAATGTTAAACATATCAATAAAAAAAGTGCGAAAATTATTATGAATTTTGATGATTTCATTGTGAATGATTAGGTTCGCTCGGAAATGTTGTGTTGTTTTAATTAATTAAGATAATAAGAGAGGGACGGAAAGATAATGAAACGAAGGTAATGAAACGAAGGTAATGAAGGAAGGTAATGATTTAATGAGAGAATTAATGACTGGGTTAAAAAAATTTGTTTTATAATTTTCAAATTCTATAAAAAAAATATATATAAATATTTTGTTATTGAATTGAATTAATTACTTTAATTTGATCCATTCGGTGATGTAAATTTTAAACTTTTACTTAGGAAAAGAAAAAAAATTAAGAAAATTTTATAAATGTTTAACAATGTAAAACTCTCCGAAGAAAATTATATTTAAACTAGGCAAATACTTTGTTTAAATATAGTTTAATAAAATTGACAAGGGGAGATATTTGTGTTTCAAATATATTATTTCCATCACCAGGATTAAAAAAAAAAAAAAAAGGAAAAGAAAACCCACCTTTTTTTTCCCTTTTAAAAAAAATATATATATATATTTAAAAAAGATAATTATATATTTATTTAACCCGCCAATTTTATTTATATATAAACGATAAAAAAAATTCACTTCAAATAAATCCTTACGAATATTTCCAAAATTGGAGATGAACATCATTATAATCCAATAATCTTCAAAAGAAAGTATTCGAGAAGATCGATCAATCAACATTGCCTGTGCAAATAATTTTTTATTTTACAGTTCTACAGAAATTAGGGGTAATCTATGTGTAATTACTTTCTTTTAAAAGAGACCAAAAAAAAAAAAATTATATATATTAGCATTGGTACACTCATAAGATTTAGCTTGACATTTTTGGTGGCATAATTACAAATAATTACAAACGATAAAAATTGGATCACACAATATATTTCCGATTATGGAACCTATTACAGCTCCAAAAACTATAACAAAAATAAACACTCCAAAACATTATCCACAATCAAATAGTGGTAGGAATTCTCCAATAGTCGCAGAGGCTTCAAATAGTAGTAGTGGTAGTCCTGAGGAACTAGAAGAAAATGGGGTTATTACTGAATCAGAAGATATATTATCTACTCCGCCAACAGGAGAAGAATTTATTGACGAGGAGGATCCTTTTCTTTTAGTGTCCTTAAGAGCTTCAAAGAGATCGCCACCCAGACCAAAGCGTATTTCAAACTTATATATGTTTGCATTTTTGGATATATTCATTATAACGGTTTGTACGATTATGTTAGTTCATAAAGACAAACAAGGTTATTGGCATTGGAAGAAAGCAGCCTGGGATTGGGTTGCTCTCGGACTTATAAGATTTATGATTGTTATAGGAGTAGCGTCTTCTAAGTGGATTAGAGAATTGCGCTGGGCTTTAGGAGGTACTTGTTGTGTAAGTAATTAAATGATTGATTTGGTTTTTATTTATTTTTTAAAAAAAGTTAATATTAATTTCCTATATTGTTATTTTTTCATTTAGTTTTCTTCATTGTACATAATTTTCAAAACAAATTTATTAATTCAGAGAAAAAAGTCGATTGAAAAATATCATCTTATTCTTTTATTGTCATCTTTTCTATTTTGTCAAATACATTGGATAGCATATGTTGTTGTTACAACAGATAGTCGTCGTAGAGCGATGTTTCTACGAGATCATTCGATCATTTTTGAAGAGGATAACTCTTATGCTGATGAAGATGAGGATATTAATCGTAATCAGGGAAGAAACACTTCTTCGCGATCATATGGCGCAACTTCCGAGCATAATGATGAAATTGATGTTTTAGTTACCAACAACAATCGTTAATTTTTTTAAATAAACGATTGTAAAGTTTTTTTTGGAGATTTTTTTTTTTTTTTTTTGTAATAGTAGTAGTAAACAAATGGACTTATATATATAATTGTAAAGTAGTAAAAATTCATTTATTTTGTAACTTTTTTTTTATTATTATTTATAAAATGTAAATCTAGCATTATAGTCAATTAATAGTTTATGTAGATTACATTACGATATTTATTTCCCTTTATTGATAGTTGAATATATATATATATATTTTGTTTTAAAATGAATCCTTAAAGTTTGAAGAATCCTCGAATCTCGAGAAAGACATATATATGTATTTAAAATTTGCTTTATTTTAAAGTCATAAATTTTGTCTTCAATTAATAACAGAAATATTTCATAAAAACATAAGTACTATAAAGACAGATTACGGTAAATTCGAATATCATTGACTTAAATTCTTATATCAATTAAAGTTTTTAATTATTAATTATTAATATGAGAAAATACAACTATAAGTTCTAATAATTTTTTTCATGAAAAGAATTTAGAAAATGTAAGAGAATTGTTTACCCATCTATATTCAGAAAACTGTAATGAATTGAAAGTTAAACAATTTAATAACTTTTAAAATTTATTAAAAGATAAGATTAATTACCTTAATTAAAATTGTAATGAAACTTAAAAAAATTATTTTGATAATTATAATACTAATATAAACTCTAATTTAAATTTAAATCTCATATTATTATAGCTTAATTAAAAAATAAAGATTATAATCCATTTGAATTTAAGATTATAAAAAATAAATGCTATATTCATATTATTAATAAAATATAAAAGGTTAAAAGATTTTTTTTATAAATTAAAAATTATTTAATTAAGCAGTCTTTTTACACTAATATTTATGAAATACAAGAAAAGATATGATCATATCAATTAACGATTTGAAAAAAAATGATTCTAGTCTTTTTTGATGTATATATTAGATTGAATTATAAAATAAAATAAATCTCAATTGTTTATGACTATAATTACTTTTTCATATTATCATATAATATGTTCAAAATCACAAAATAATGTTTGATTATAATTTAATAATAAATCTTATAATTAATTAAACATATTAAAAATTAAAATTTTTGCATCTTAGTTACTTTATCAATTGAGTCCTTATGCCTTTACAAAAAAATATAAATACAATTTATTGCTACTAGTAATTTTGTTTTAACATTTATTATAGCTTGTTCATTAATAATTAGTGGACTTTTTAATCAAAAAATATCTGAAGAAGCAAAATGATAAGCATACCTATAAAATTAAATATAAAAATCCAACTAGAACTTAATAAGAGAAAATTTATTATACATATTATTAGTACAAATAATAATATTAGATCAGGTTAGAGCAGTGACAGATATTACCTAATATCAGTTAATTAGAAGGCCTTACCCTCCCTCCCTCAGGTAAGATATGCTGCGAAGTCACATAATATGATTTTATTTATCTGACGAAATTTTTAGATATCTGATGAAATAAAAGTAATGATTAAAAAAAAATTGATAGAATTTATTATAATTTATGTAGTGATAAATAAAAAAAAAGGTTGCATAGTCTAAATAGTCTATTATAGTTTATATAGTGATAAAAAAAATAATACAGTGAACTCTTGATATAACGAATTCTAGGATCTGGATATCAACTTCGTTATAAGCTTATAACGAATTTTTTAAAGAATTTAATTGGCTAGTTCACTATAGTAAAGGTAATTTTAATATATTTGATTTAAAAATTCGCTATATCAAGAGTTCGCTATATCAAGGTTTGACTGTATAGTTTATAGTTTAAAATCTAACACTTAAATTTGAAAGAAATTCATTTATTAAAAAAAATAATATCAAAAAATTCGGGATGATCCTTTCTAAAAACTAGCTGCGGGTTTTATTTAACACTCATGAAATTTCAACGCGTTTATTTCGTATTTGGCATTTTACGCAAAAATTCTCCTTTCATTAACACATTGATATTTTGTCCTTAATTTTAAAAATGAATCGCCAAACATTTTTTTAGTCCCAAATTTAATAAAAAACCAATATATAATTCACTAACTAATAAATATCAAGAGTTCACAAATGCCTATGTGTATAGTATTATAGTAAAAACGAGTAATCATAATCCTGATAGTGCTGCTGTTTGTCAAGAAGCCATAAATAAGTGGAATAATATTAAGAAAAATTGTGTCAATGATATTGATAATAAAATTTGGGACTACAGTCAAACTTTGATATAGCGAACTCTTGATATAGCGAATTTTTAAATCAAATATATTAAAATTACCTTTATTATAGTGAACTAGCCAATTAAATTCTTTAAAAAATTCGTTATAAGCTTATAACGAAGTTGATATCCAGATCCTAGAATTCATTATATCAAGAGTTCACTGTATATAGCCACACCATTTAACTTGTACGATATACAATCAATGAGATACAAACACTCTGTGCCTAAAGAAAAATCAAATCCTTCACCTTTCCCTTTCATCATTCATTCAGTAGACCCTCTAACACAAATTCCTGCTAATACCTTAGCTCAAAAAAGGGCAGTGGATATAATCCAAATAGCTGAAAAAAAGATTTACGAATTCGAGCAGATTTACAATATTACCAGTGATGCTTAAATTTGTAATGATATGTACCAAAAAGTAGAAAATCTGAGGGATGAAATTAAATCTAACAAAGATAGAATTGCCAAGTTAAAAAGAAATGCTAAATATGCCCAAAATTGCAAAGAAAAAAAATTAAGACAACTTATTAAAAATCAAGAGGTTGTCCGTTACGATAAACTGGGAAAGCCACCATTTCTCTTTAAATATCCAGATTTACATGAACGTATACACAATTGCGTGGAATTTGGATCTGCTGATGCAAAATGACGGAAAGAGGTTGTTAAAGTTCAGATAATAGAAAATCTGTATAAAAATCTTGAAGAAAGATACGAAATTTACATGGCGAGGACTACATTAAATAATCACTTTTTACCTCACCAATCAAACTTAATCACCGTTAAAACACACATTATCCAGTATGGGTCACAGTCGCTGAAGTTTCACGAACTGAGATGCGTGAACATCCTGATAGCTATTATTGCCTCGCATCGGTAAAATATGCAAAGCAATTCACTAGCACTTTTGCTGATGTTTCAGTTGTCATCTCTCAAGATGTCAAAGCAAAGATTGGACTTGGAGTACCTGCGGTAGGTCGCACATTTCGCACATTACAATCCATTAGCGAACCTACGACCATAACAAACCATGATTTTCCTATGGGATTCGGACAAAAATTAATCCCATCAGTGTATTTGATGATAAGTCTAAATGAATCTAATGATGAGCTGTGAACAGGAAAGTTGGCGATTTTTGTACGTCCCCAATAGTCTTTTGGCATATCTTCACTTACGCATATGCAAGACTTGGAAAGCCTTATTTCGAATTCTCAATATGATAATATGCTGAAAACAAATGGAATGGTCTGACCAATATGGATTTTATTGGTAGACGGAGGGTTGGATGAGAATCCTAGATACTTAAAAAATATTAAAGCCTATTGTCAGCTTTTCAAGAAGTTCGATTTGGATTTTTTAAGTATAAGAACACATGCCTCAAGTCAGTCAAAGTATAATCTGGTTGAAAGAGGTATGGCAACATTGTCTAGCAAACTCACTGGTATTACTTTGCCAATTGATTACTTTGGTGTGCATTTGGATATACAAGGCAAAGTTATAAATCTGAAATTAGCTGCTCGAAATTTTTGTTATTCGGGAGAAGCCCTCTGTGAAATTTGGCGTCATGATTTGATTTTCAGAAAGAAGGTCGATGCTTGTTACATTGATGTACTCACGGATCCATTCGAATACATACAGTTCAAGGGAACGGAAAAAGAAAAGGTTGAAGAATTAAAAAAGAGAAAAAAAGAACAAAAAAAATCAAATAAAGAAACAATACATACCAATTCTGAATGTTTTGTACTGTGGTTTTGAATCGAAACCCACTGTAATTTGTGTAACTACTCTCTTGATATCAAACATTGCACAAATGTTAGTTGCTGTGGACCGTTCAGAGCCAAAGAAGCTATGGACTTTCTTCATCTGTATAATGGTTTTTTACCACCAGTTACTAAAGCCAAAGATGGCCAATTCACAAATCTGATTCATCTTCTTCAGTATGGAGATCTCTTGAAAATACCGAGTTATGATGCCCATTGTGCATCTATTGAAAAAAATACATACTTACGA